AAGGGTTGCGGGAGGGGGGGGGGGAAGGCCGGGGGGAGGGGGATGTCACCGACGGGGAGGCGCGTGTGGTGGAGGGGGGCGGTGAGGGGGGCTGGGAGGGGTGGTGGGTTGTGGGTGGAGTGGGGGATGATGGGGGTTAGGGTGGGGTGTTCGGGTTCGCCGTCCGGGACGTCGAGGTCCTCGCGGGCCATGGGGGCGGCCTTGGGTTGGGGGTCCGGTTTTGCCGGGCCTGCGCCGTGATCGACGTGCGCGACCTTTTGGTATCGCTGGCTGAAGTGGGTGAGGACGACGGTGCGGGCTTGCATCATGCGGCCGACTTCGAGGGCTTCCGAGGTGGTGGAGTGTTTCTTTGCGATGGCCGAGACGGCCATGTCGTCGTGGAAGGTGGCTTCGTGGATGAGCACGGTCGAGTCGCGGCCGATGGTGGCGAAGTTCGAGGAGGGGCGGCAGTCGCCTGAGAAGGAGAGCTTGAAGCCGTCCGGGAAGACGAGGGAGACGGCCATGGCGCCACGACAGTGCGGGACCCTCGTTGTTAGGATATCGGCGAGTCCTGTGGCCTGACGCAGGAGCGGGGTCATCGGGGAGGAGTCGTCGTTGAAGTCGAGCGTGGACGTCTGAGGCCGGCTCCCGTCGACTTCACACCCTGGGTAGGAGCCGTCGTCACGGCAGTGACGGTAGGTGAATTTTGTCTTGATGCCTCCGTGGACGTAGGTGGGCTGGGCGGCCAGAGGCACTAGCTTTCCAAAACCGTAGTCCTCGACGCCTGCATACTCCTCGAGCCAGCCGATCATCATCTCCTCTGACACGACATACAGGCGTTTGTCTTTGAGGATCTTGCGCATGTCGGTCTCGATGCTGCCTGCTCGCGGTACGCCGTCCGGGTAGTTTGCACGGAACCAGGCCTTGATGACGGAAGCGGTGCCAAGATGATGATCAGCGTGGAGATGGCTGATCCAAATCAGCCGGAGGTTCTGCAGCACCTCTTGCAACTTCTTCGGTTCGTACATCCGCTTGAGCTGACCGATAGTGTTCTCGCCACAATCAAGTAGGTAGTAACCCACCCCAGGCACATTGACGAGAGTGCTGGAGACATTGCGGTATTTGGACGGCGCGGACGAGCCAGTTCCCAGAGTAACAATCTCTACGTTGGCCCCAGGTAGGTCTTTACGAAACTCGGCCAGTTTCTCTTGGAATTGGGGTTTCATGACCCGCCTACGGATTGCAGTCACCCGCTGCTCGATGGAGCGAGGGATCTTCTGCACAGTCTCGGCAGGGTTGAACAATGGCACGACCTCTGAGCGGTTAAGCTCGAACTTGGGTTCCATGTCGATAAGAAGGCCGGGTTTGATCGGTTCGAACGGCGAGTTGCGGATCATTTCCCTGGTTGTCTCTGATTCGCACGTAGGAGTACCTGGCTGTGGCAGGGTCTTGTTGTCATGAACTGGGACGGGATAATTCTCGCCGCGCAGCCGAGCCAGCCTGATGGAGGACCCTGCAACGCTACTCAGTGCCAAGTAGTTGGGACAGTAATCCGTGCTGGAGACGGTGTGTTTGCAGTGCGACATGCGAGCGACAAATTCGCGGAGGCGAGGATGGTCGCCAACACCCGGTCCTAGAATCCATAGGAAGGCCTCTAGTCCCGAGGTGACAGCGGCCGAGTTCCATTCCGGCCGATCAACCAAATCATCCACGTAGTCAGAGGTAGGCAAATCGATGATTGCCAACCCCTTCCCGAGCCGTGGTGGACCCAGCACCATATCCGGGGTGACGGTCTTTCCGTCCTCAGACAGCACATTCTCTCCCCGAGTCAGGCGCGCAAAGTTCGGACCGGCGCGAACGTTCAGCTCTTTCGCCTTTTGCGGATCGAATTTGCCCCTGAGATCGTGGTTGCGCACGATATAGGAAACCGCCTCATCGCACCGTGTGGTGGGTGGGAGCTTCTCGACACTAGCTCCAGGCCAGGGTTGACGCACGAGCACCTTGATGTCAGGAAGAGGCTCCTCGCTTCCAGGAGCAGGACCCTTGTACGGCTCGAGGTCTTTGGTGATGGGGTTCCGGACGAACATGACTGCAGGCATTTTGACTTCTGCCAAGGGGGTCTCGACGAGAGCATCCATCCTCCAAGACGAATTGAACATGTCGGAGATGACCGATTGCCTCATGATCTGGTCCTGGGCGCGCTGGCTTAGAACAGGCTTGTCAGCGTCGCGCTCCTGGAACTCGTCCAAACTCCTCTTTCTCGGACTCTGAGGCCCGGATTGATGCGATGGCCTTCTCGACCGCCGTGACGGCGAGGGCCGAATGGGCATAGCCCACACCTTGATGTTCTTGTCCGACCAGGTCGGCTGCTCAAAGAGATCAGTGGCGTGTGCCTGAGGACCAGTCTTGGACAGACTCTCCGAGTCATACTCCCTCGTGAAAACCGGCATCCCCTTGCGAAAAACAAATCTCCGCGCAGTGGCTAGGGTGTGCGTCAGGTTCCGACCACCATGAATTGTCAAAGTGCCTCTGTCAGGCTGCCCGTCCTGCTGCTGCTGCTGCTGCTGCTGCGACTGATGTTTAACATGCTGGCCACCATGCCCCTTCGCCTCTTTCTCACGCGCAGTAAGCTCCAGCGCATTCGCGGCGCTCGCAAGCCCATCAGCCAGCGTGAGAATCACACCAATCAACCCGCCATTATTCGCCCATTCCGTCCGCCCCGTGAGAAAAATATCCGTCAGATAGGATAGTTTGACACCGCGCTCCGTACACGCCCGCTGGGTCCCCTCCGAGATCTGCCCAAAGAAATACCGTTTCTCCGGGAAATGTAGGACGACCGTCGTGCCCGGCGTATCGGCCGTCGGCGTCGTCAGCACCTGGTAGTAGAACTTCATTGGTTTATTTCCAACAGCGGGAGTAGGTAGAGAGTCGAAGCCGGAGCCCTTGCGCGAAGCGGGGTTGTATAAAATGTAGGTTTTCCCTCGTCCGAAGTCGAGTTTGGGCGCTCTGAGAAGAAAGGCGTCAGGATTGATCTCGCGGTGAAGCTCGCGTATCGGAAGAGCCTTGTGTGGACGATAGAGGTACTGCTGCGAGACGGACGATTTAGGAGGCCGAGATGTACCTTCGTAGACCCGACGATGCTTCTTGAAGTATGACGCAGCTCTGGAGAAGCAAGAAGAGCCTGCTGGAGAAGGAGCCCCGCGAAAGGCTTCAGTGAACAGCCTCCCGGAAAAAAGAAGGGAAGCCAATGTGGCTGCTGAAAAGCTTTCACCGAAGGAACCGATGGTACTGCGCAATCATTGCAGAATTCAAGAATGAGTGAATAGAGAGCTATCTGGATCTGAATCCGAAATTGAGGGACTCCTTCCTGCGTGAGTGACTCTGTTTGTGAGTCAGTCAGTCAGGTAACTTAATCGGAGCTGCTGAAGTCATCCAGAATAGTTTTAGTTTTGCCTCCGCCTGCAGAATCTTGGCGTTGTCTGCGGCAGAGGCATAGAATAGATACATCTATTAAATGAAATGCTACAGATCGACAAATTCTAAACAATCAGTTCTTGCATTGGATAAATCTTTTGAGTAGCTCAGCATATTCTGACTTTTGATCTTATTCGACTAAACCTAATAGTGGTTTCTAATCGCCAATCCACCAGGTGTCCGGTTTCCTATTCCCTTCCTAAACAAGAGCTAGACCTGTCCCTGAATACACCGAAAGACTCCCAAGAACCCAGAATACGATAGAGGTGAATAGAGAGAAGACGAAGTGAAAGCAGGCGCAGATATACAGTCAAATGCCATGAACAAAAGAAAGAGGGGATGTATGTATCCTCACAGAGATTGATGCTCACAGGCTCGAATCAGAACAAATATCAAGAAAGAAATTTACAAATCCTACAGGTATCACATATGCTCAGCCGCGCAGCGTGGGGGAATCATGAAAGATGGGAGGTCATCATAGAGACGCGTTGGAAAGCTGCCTCCATGCTGTTGCACAGAACGACAAAGCGGTCCGCAGTGGCCTTGGACTCATTCTCGACGACCAACTCAAATGCAGGGGTCGACTTTTCGGATTGAATGGTGCTAGTAAAGTCCACAGGGAAGTCTGACGACGAGTCTGTGGCGGGAGAGTCGGCGAAGAGGGCGAAAGCAGGGTCGGACTCGTCGATCTGAATATCTGGGTTCTCGACACCGACAGGAGAATCACTCGTCTGCTCCTGTGTGATTGGCGGCCGCTCGATCATAGGGATTTCATCCTTTGAAGAAGATACTTCCGGCAGACATGTTCCGAACAAGGTCGAACTCTTTCCAGAGAGCATCTCGGCGTGGAGGGCGGGACCCTGGGGAACCTCCAGGACAGCAAAGATAGGAGTGTTGCCATAGCTCATGTCAATTCCGGTGTTCCAAGCCCCATTGTTCAAACTCATCGCAGAAACATCCATCGTTTGATTAGGAACCATGACCATGCCAACCTGAGGGTTCTGAGCAATTGGGAGACTGTGACTAGGAGTGGCTTCTTTGGGAATGCTAGTTTGCATGGGCGGCTGCCCCATGGGTGGTGGTTGAGGCTGAGTTTGTATCTGTTGTTGTTGCTGCTGCTGCTGCTGCTGCTGCTGCTGCTGGGGTTGAGGGACCTGGGGTTGGGATTGAGGCAGATTGGGGGCGGGGATGCCATTGACGCTCATCTCGTCCAGGAAGTGAGAGAAGTGAGGGGAGGAGAGAAGCATGCGAGCAAGGTCAGTGAGACGAGCATTTTCCTCGTACAGAACGCGATTCTGAAGACGTAATTCGTGTGCTTCATTGGTTCGTGCAGCGACTTCTGACTCCAGTTGGCCGATATATTCTAGTTCATGTTAGTATTGCGGATATGGACCCCGTTCAAGAATTAAAAGCATACCCTTTCTGCGCGATCGGAAGGCGCGGGCTGAAACCTTGTTGCGCAGCTGCCGACGTTCCTTGCTACTGAGTTTCTTTCCTTCTTCACTGGCAAGTAACCTTTCATCTTCATCCATATCCTGCTCATCCTTCTTCATCTTTGCCATTTGAGGCAAGGTCGAAGAGGGCGATGGGGTGTCCTCGATAGCGACCATAGCGTTCTGTCTCATCTGCTGCAAAAGGCGCGTAATACGTTCCTCCACGACAGGATTCGTGGCGCGAGGGGGCTGGCTCTGCTGCTGCTGGTGGAATTGCTGTTGCTGTTGCTGTTGCTGCTGGCGAAGCATCTCATGTTGTTTCTGTTGTTGTTGAGCCGCCTTTGCCATGGCCGCTTGTTGTTGGTGCATTCCCGGATACATGCGGCCGACCTGAGTGGAAGGCCCGGCAGGAACGACTTCGTGCCCTCCAAGAGCATTGGGATCGATGAATTGATTCTTGTTGACATTCGGTGAGAGATAGTAAGAAACCGCACCCATGCCGTCAGACTCCAGGTCCATTTCAGATGGGTGACGAGAGGACATGTTGTTGAAATCGAACGAAGTGTCTTCCCGCTTCATGTGGCTGCTAGCGAACATGTCGCCATTCATCTGGTAAGCAGGGCTCGCGTTACCGAAACTCACGCTGGCCATCTGATTGAAGTTCATTGCGTGGGCTAGAGCTCCTGGTGGCAGGCCAGTCTGCTGCTTGTGTTCGTCATATTGGTGGCTCGGCCCTTGGAAAGCCATGGGTGAGTGACCGTTGGCAGCGAATGTCGCACTGCGAACATCGCCGGCGCTGAAATCTGAGCTGGGGAGAGAAGGCTGGCTTGCGAGGGTAGCTTTTGGTCGGGCAGGTTCTGCTGATGCGTAGGTGAGTTGATCGAGGTTGATGAAGCTGTCCATGTCCTGTTCATACACGGTCGGCATGGGCGATGTTGATGATGACATGACGGTAGGTGGTTCTGCCAGAGTCGCCATTCTGTTGCTGGACTGCGAGTACTCTCGATATCGAACGAATGAAGCGTCAGGCCGATCAACGATAGGCAATTGATAGTTTGATAGGGCGTCTGAATATATGTAGATAGCGAACGACGGTGGAAAGGCGTGATAGAGATTTCAAGGATATACGTATACAAGAGGTTCTAGAAGGATATCGTTTTGAGGAAAGAATGGATAGGGAAATGAAGTCGAGGAGATGAACCAAAGAATTGAGATCAATGGAAGGGGTAGAAAGATGATGGGATAGGGATACCTCTCTGAGGCAGTCGAAATTGTGGTTAACGGTAGGATGGGTCAAGAAAAACGTTTGCTGGAGATCGACAGGTGGGAAAGTTGATGGAGGATGATGGAAATGAGGAATCAGACAGAGACGTGAATCAGAACAACAACAGGAGGGAGTTACGGAGTAGTAGATACCACCACCATAGTAGTCTGTCGATTGTCGAACTAGGAGTACGGAGGAGAACCAGGAGGCCTGAGAAGTGGGAACATTGTCCTCTCCAGGAATAGAAATCAGGTTAGACCGGCTTGCGCGTCCTCCGCTGACTCAGCCCCGAGAAGCGGAGCCCTTCTTGCGCTGTGGCTGTTGATTGGCGGAGGAGGCTGGTCGATAGGGCTAACAATGCTGCACCCTAAGGAGGGGATCCACCCCTCCCTAAGGCAGGTAAGGTAGGTACCAGTCCCGTATTGTTATTTACTGTCTCTGATACGGCAAGTCTCTTGGACAATCAAGGAGATCTTCGACCGAAATCTGGCAGTTTGTTTACTTTCTAGTCGATCATCAAGATCATACCTACCTATCAACAAGAAATATGCAGCCAGTTGACAGCTATGCATGTCATGTTAAGCTTGTCATATTTCATCCTCAGGTAGGAATACCGGAACTATTCCCACGAGATACTACTACCCCTGATATCTGTCCTCGTCTGGTGTTTTGTCTTTTAACGCTTTGCTGTTTCAAGTCTGTTTGTCCGATTTTCATCCCTTTCTCACGGCACCAGGCATTGACTTGATTGGTTGCTCTCCCCCGGAACATGCTCCGTTCAAGCCCTAAGTCCGTCTTTGAGCATGAAATGACGTTGGTGGCTCTCAATCGGCCAATGAGACATGAACTTTGCTCTCAATTAAAGAGAACTGTATCCTGTGGAAATTGGAATGAATAAATGTTGGAAGTCCACATATTTTCCATGGTGGAGGAGTCTGTTATGTTGCTGAGACATGAAACTCGATTTCAAACTTCTGAGCTTCATCCAGGAATCTACCTAGGAGCCATCTAGGACATAGATATTTGCTATCCCTTGTAAGGAGTGGTTGCATTCCACTCTTTAGCTACAAAACAACAAACAACGGAAGGACAAGAGATAAAACTTCCTATCTGACCAACTGACGATCAAAAACATCGGAAAGGACACTGCAGATGAAAGTCCTTTGCTAATTGCAATCTTTACCAACGGTCATCTTCCGACATCTAGACCGAGCTGTCCAATGACCAGACCGACTTGCTCGTGGAGATCACCATCCCTAAGTTGCCTTCTTTTGGACATCCAGCGTTGTTCTAGAAGGCTTCAAGACCTCTTTGGCTAATTCTCGGCTTCCACAATCCCCAGGTCTCCCCTTTCTGGTTATGGTGGATCGTCGTGCAATCTGAGGCAAAGCTTGGCACGGCTAGAGAGGTTCAAGATTTTTAGCAACTACGGAGTCGATAACGAGTAGTTAACTCGGCCAAATGGAGAATCATCGGCAGTGAAACTTGACTACGTACAAGCCTCTGCCAAAGTTTAAAACAGTAAAATTGTCTGCCGAGTCCCGTCCAAATGCTCAAATTGACGCTGGGTCTATTTCGACTGGGATGGCTCGCCCTGTTATTGGCAGCTCAGCCACTAGTTCAGCTTAATCGACTGCGACAACTGTAAACGGCAAACGGGCCAGATTACCGAATCTAGTATCGGTGTTAAGAGTCCTCCTGCAGACGCCACAGCCAGGCTGCAAAATATCTTCAAGCACAATTGGCTTTGTTCAGTCTTTTTGAGGCGCAGTACAAGCACAATCTGTTATTTTCGCATATACTAGCCACCTGGACAGTAGATCATAAAGAATTTCTATGCAATGTGCCAGTCTAGCCTGATTGCGTCTACCGATCTACACGTTGTGCACTTAATCCCGAGCTCACCTTCCTGCTGAGCTCGGCAAGAATCCGCTCCTCTTACCATGGGCCAGCGAGCGACATGCCCGTCTGGGTATCTAAATCATGAAACTTGTAGGGGATAGGATATCTATCGGATTTGATCAAGTCCGTCCACTCACGTGCGGTGTCTATTCCGTCCAGTCTAGACCTTCGACTCTATCGTTTCAACGGAGGCTCCTGGGCGTCTAGATTTGAGAATCGTGGATTGTGAATCGTGGAAAATGCCTTGTAAGGCTGCTTTCTCTCCATGCTCGGTTTTCATCATCTGATATGTAGTTATCTATGGTTTGATCGAGAACGATCCACAAGTCTGATCTGATACTGACCATACCTCTGTGGGTTTCATTGCGAAGCACTCTCTGACCACGACCCAGGCCAGACCAGGCCCTTGGTTTGATATTCTCCGTGCAGTCATCGTTTGAGCAAGCTTGACCATCTCAATACTCCAGGGCCCAACTGCGCAGTGAGAATTCTACAGTCACAAGGGTGTTGATCATCTAGTCAATGGGCTGGCTTCATTCATTCTAAAGGCACCAAAAGCAGGGACTCTGATGTCTACGGAGTACTTGATGTCAAGCTGACAAGACCATTCTATATTGCCCACATGAACCGGATCTCGATATTCAATTCAATTCTCATTTCATAATGTCATGTTCAGCATCCTCGAGCATACACATCTTCATATACATATAAACTTTTACTCATCTTGTTACACAGTCGCAGCTTACTCGAGTTGACCATCGTCAGACATAAAGAATCATTACTCCTGAGGATGAGCGAGCTGGTCGCTGGTGAAATGGTACGATCCGCTTGGCTTTGGATTCATCTCCGAGGCACTATAGCTGCCAGGCTGATTGCCCCATTGGGCATCGTTACTGGGGGCCTGATCGTCGGCAACAAATCCCTAATATCTCAGTAACCGGAAACTTTGCTACCAGCGTCGGCTAAGGGCACTGGACGCGCACCTGCTGAGTGGGATCCATGCTCTGATAAGTACTCTGCTGGCTCTGCTGGCCTGCTTGCGACTGTGACTGTGACTGGAACTCGGGCTCGCGGGCAAACCCTTCCGCCTTGTCTTGGGATGAGTTGGCGCTGCTTCTGAGGTTGTAGTTGGAAGTCATTATGACAATTCTGGAGATTTGAGGGTACAGTTGACTGCTGATGCGGGTTGACTTTGACTTTACAGATGGTTGGTTTGGAACTCATTGCCCTTATATGCGGCTGGTTCAGAAGTGTGGTTGATATGAGGTCATGATTGCGTCTAGACACAGCAGATCAGATGATGGTTTCCATGTTGCTTTATGCTGATTGAACATTGCCATAGTGGCCTGACCGATTATTATATCTAGTTTATCTTAAAGAATGATTGTGCTGAGGATTAGATGTGGAGGTTGTCGCCTAGGATTTGAGGCATTAAAGCTTCATCATTGGCAAATTTATGCCATCTAGTGATAGCATGAGCACTCCTTGAGTAGTGTTATATGCCAGTAACTTTGATGATCATCACCCAGGTACCATCTATTTTGGATGAGCTATGCTGATCTACATTATCATATGTTATTGTACTACTCCTATATCTCACCCTAATGGCTCTTATACATGACTACACGATATTCTGTCCCTACCTCAACTACAATCATTTCTCCCTCCTGATCACAATTACTCACATGAACTAATCCATCCCACTAACATATATCAGCTTAACCCACAGGGTTCACTATAATCATCAATGAGATCAAATTCCTCAGGCAGACCTGATCGCCACTATACCCCTTTCGGACCCCGCTCTCAGTCCTCAGCAGCCTGCATGCTATTCGCAGTTCCATCATGAGTCAATGCGATGTGGGCAGTCATCATATAAATCTTCTACGAGAAGTGACTATTGGTTGAGCTCTGTGGCCGAGGTCGTGGCGACTCTGGGTTTGTCTTGGCCTCTTCAATACTAATATGTGGCATCGCAGCGGGTGACATTGGCGTTAGCATTGACGGGGAGAGTACCAGAGTGCATATTCTAAGGATATACAAGAAGCATTGATCAGGTGAAGACTCTCTTCGCATATACTGCATGGAATAGCCTTTCATCGTGCACTGGCATCCAGCACATCATGACACCCTCCATCATAGCAACCTGCAAACAGACCCGGTTCCATCTATTGCATGATCAGCCTGCGCAGGAGGTCCGTATACACATCTCATCGCCAGGGACAAGCGCTAAACCCAACACCGCCAGATCGACGTAGAAGGCCTCACCATCGCTGTCACGTCCTCGTCGGCAGACTCGGCCGACGACCGGGACGCCGCAAAATCCAAAGCAAAGGGTAAATCAAGATCCAAAGCCGAGGCGCGGGAGCTCATCGTCGACGCTCACTTGCGTCTCAAGGCGGGCGTGCATTATGGCCTGATTGGGCGCAATGGGACGGGGAAGTCGAGTAAGCTGCTTGGGAGGGGAGTGAGTCGATTTGAGGAGCCATGCTGATGTGATGAAAGCACTGCTCCGCGCGATGGCCGACAAACTGGTCCCTGGGATTCCGCATCCGACGCGCATCGCGATCCTGCAGCAGACGGAGGCGGAAGATGAAGCGCGGAGCTTCGAGTGCGAGGGCAGTGCGCGGGGGGAGGACTGCGGCAGGCGGAATCTGCCCGTGTTGGAATATGTCATGGGCAGCGATCGTTTCCGGAATGATGTGGTGCGGAAGATGGATCGTAAGACGGCCTCTTCCTTTGAAGGGAAGGGTTCTAACGATGTGAAGTTCTGTCGAAGAGCTTCGAGACGGATGATCCGGTAGCACCTGTGCGGGCGATCCGGAGAGTCCGCCACGATGATGTTGAGAAGCAGCTGTTCCTTGCGCAGAAGAATGCCAGTCTCAAGAGCGGAGCGAGGGGGTTACAAGCTCGGAAGGACTTGAAGGCGGCCGAGGCGAGATATCAGGCTTCGAAGGAGCTGTGAGTTGTCCTCTGAGGGCTTGGGGAAGTCAACTCATTTGGTGATAGGGTTGATCAGCCTGACCAGCCTATTGATGCGGAGGCGCTCAAGACCGAGACACAGGCGGCGATGGATACTCTTCAGGAATTACAGGCTCAATTTGAAGTCGTGAGTGCCGTAAACTAGGGCTATGTTCGGATGATTGAAGAAATACTGAGCATGACAGATAAAACTGGTGGATATTGAGAAGCAAGCTCGCCAGATTCTCAAGGGACTGGGTTTTGACGAAGCCACGCTCAACAAACCCTTCCTGACTTTGTCTGGGGGCTGGCGCATGCGATGCGTGTTGGCCAGCGTTCTCATCCAGAACCCGGACATCATGATCCTAGACGAACCGACCAACTTCCTGGATCTACTTGGCGTCGTCTGGCTGGAGAATTACCTACAGCAGTTACGGGACTCGTCCCAGACGACCATCGTGCTAGTATCTCACGACCGAGACTTTGTCAATGCTGTCTGCGAGGAAATCGTCATCCTCCGCGACCAGAAACTGACATACTTTAAAGGAAACCTGGCCGCCTACGAGAAAGACTTTGAAGAGCAGAAACTCTACTGGGGCCGCATGAAGGAGGCACAAGAGCGCCAGATCGCGCACATGGAAGCGACGATTCGAGAAAACATCAAGCTGGGGAAGAAGACCAACGACGACAACAAGCTGCGCATGGCCAAGTCTCGGCAGAAGAAAGTCGACGACCGCATGGGCGTTCAGGTCAACGCCAATGGCGGCCGCTTTAAACTGAACAGGGATCTGGCGGGCTACCATCTAACCGCGCGAGCTGAAATTGAAGTACCAACGGACGAAAGAGGTGCCTCGATGATCCTGCCCGATGCCAGTGAACTGCGCTTCTCGGGTCCGTTGCTCTCGGCGGAAGGGGTGGTTTTCCGGTACACGCGGAATGCACCGCCTATACTGAATGGGATCGAGCTGGTGATGCACATGGGCGATCGGGTCGGAATCATGGGACTTAATGGTTTTGGAAAATCTACGCTCATCCGCCTGTTGACGGGAAATCTGCAGCCGACGCAGGGAAAGATATCCACCCACTCCAGGCTGAAGCTGGGATACTACGCGCAGCATTCAATCGAAGAGCTCCATGAGCAAGGTCGAGCCGATCCTGCTCTGACCGCATTAGGTTTTATGACCAAGGAGATCAATAGCGCGCTTAGCGAGGGTGAGATCCGGGGCTTGCTGTCGTCACTGGGTCTGCAGGGCAGAATAGTCTCAGACGTGCCTATTGCACGGTTATCAGGGGGTCAACTGGTAAGATTTCGCGTCTGGAGTATCGAGCTGCAGCTGTTAACATACTTTTCAGGTCCGTCTGGCCATTGCCAAGGTAATCTGGAACTCGCCTCATTTGCTGGTTCTCGATGAAATCACGACGCATCTGGATTTCCATACCGTCACGGCTCTTGCGACCGCACTGTCTTCGTTCAACGGTGCAATCCTCCTGGTATCTCACGATCGTTTCCTGGTCCGGTCCGTCATTGAAGGGAAACGAGACGGCGAGCATAATCTGGATGATGAGTTTGAGGGGGTAGACGAAGAAGTTGAGGAGCAGAGTCGAAGAAGGTCGGTCTATGTGATGAAAGGCGGGAAGCTCACCGAGCAGCCCAACGGGGTGGAGCAGTTTGAACAGAGTCTGGTGAAGAGGGTCAAGAAGATGCTTTCACAATAGACAGTCCTTTGAACCTTTCAGATTTGAAGGTCTGAATACTGGACGGTTAATAATGGTATATCTATCATCAGTAGAAACATCACTCTGCCAGAACGTGGGATGGCCTGAGGCCCACCTCAAGCTAGATCTGATTTGCACCCAAGGAGATTTATCGGGGGGTTGACAGACCAAATGACACCTCGGAATGCGACTTGAATCCACTGGCTTAAATATGTTTTGTTCAGACGAGGCCTTTGGATTCTTGAATACCCGTTTCCCCGATTCCCCGCCGTGGCGACCATACAGAGTTAGGATTAAGCTTGCCGTGGCTGGATGGCTTCGAATCTTATTGTACTGGAGACACCTCCACTGACCGCATAGCTCTCTTCCTCCTGCCATATTTGTTAGCTTCCTTGACGATCTTGCGAAATTAAATGTGGACAAAGTATACTTTCGCCAGAGTAGAAATGACGTGAGGACGAAAAAGATATAAGGAGCTCATTCCCTGGCGATGGTGCACTACATGTTCCGCGATCCTCAATCAGTGATCTTACCATCATGAAGCGATCATTATTGTCAGGTCTTTCTGCCCTTCAAGGTCTGAGTGTCTTGGCCAGTCCTCTGAGTGGGAGGACTTCAGGTGTAAGTACGATCCATACTGCTCACCCTTCTACTGCTGACGAAGTTGAAGACACCCGAAACATGCAGTGAACCGCCCGCCACCCTTGAACTGAGCAGCGGCCCATATGACAATTACTTTTATTCCGACTGTAATGTCGCCGCTCAAGTCGTTGTCACTAGTCCACTACCTGACAGCAATCTGAGCTTGATCGGGCCTCGGCTGATCGTAGCCTGGCCGGCGGGCGACAGCGGTATCTGTACCTACTTTGCTCCCGAGAATGGAGTCAACGGCACCCTTGGTATTTCGGTAGTCAACTCAACCGTGGGAAGCCCACTGTCGCTCAATTACACGGCTAAAGAGCCAAACCCAGGGGTCGGGGTGCAAGGCACACTCCGCTTCAACTCGTCGGCGGTCTTGACCGTCCCTATTCTAGGCAGTATTCGCACGATCCGCGATTTCGTCGAAGGTCCAAGTCTGCTGCAGCCTAATATTCAGGATGCTATCCAATTTACCAGCTCTCCTGACGGAAGCGTGATGCTCGAGCGTCTGTGGCTGGACAATGTCACCACGAGCGCGATTAGGTTCACTCCCGTGAACAGCACGTCCAAGGTCACCGTCTCCGGCAAGACGGTTAGCTTTGAGGCTGGTGACTACGTCTTTTCTGCGGAGATTGACTATCCGCAGCTGACCCAGCTGCCTCCGGCCGCGGTGCTAAACAATGTCTCTGCAGACCTTGTGACTAAAATGCCCGTTCAGACCACTGCGCTTTCGTTCCTCTCCTACTCGGAGAAACTTCTTGCTGGCGCATGGCGTTTTTTGACTTACTTTGGACGAGATCTGATGATAACCGCCTTGCTTATGGATCCCGTCATGAGCTACGGCAATGCCAGTGCCATGGAGGCGGTGCTGGGCTCAGTTTGTGAGCGCATTAACGGCACCGATGGCAGTGCTTGCCATGAAGAGACTATCGGGTAGGTGCAAGACTTGGATTGAGTATCTATAAACTAACGTCCCGGCTAGTGACTACGCGACTTGGCTGCATCTGCAGGAAAACGTCACCAGCACCGCGATGATTTGCGACTACAAGATGGTGAGTCTGCACGATTACTTGAAAAGAAAATGCTGACCCTGCACAGGTTGATACCGACTTTTACCTCGCGCCCCTCATGCAGAGCTATTTTCTGAACAACCCAGTCGGCCAAACCCGGTGGCAGGCCTTTTCTAGGTTTGTTTCCTTGTCCACAGTCTCCGATTACCCGGCTGACGCATGTAGCACCCCTGCTGGTGCCATCAATGCTGCGAACAAGAATCTCACTTGGGGCCAGTTGGCGCTTCGCAACGCCGAGAAGACCATGAGTCAGGCTGCATTGTTCGCACAGAATCCTTGCAAAGAGAACCTGGTTCATTTGAAGCCGGGTGAGATTGTCGGCGAATGGAGAGACAGCACATACGGTATGCCCTTTTCAATAAAACAAAGCACAGTCCCTCCTTCTAAGTCACTGCAGGAATTGGAGGCGGCCGAATCCCATACGACGTAAACACAGCCTTGATGCCTGCTGCCCTGCGCGCCATTGCAGCTTTGTCCCGGGCCGGCATCTATGCTGGCCGTCACAACTGGGCCGAGCAAGCAGACAAGTATGCCCAGATATGGGAAGATGAGACTCTCCATTTCTTCCAAGTAAGCCCTGCGCTACTGCCATTTCCATCCTTTGCCAACAAAGACTAACAGAAGTAGGTCACCATCCCCGCAGAAACAGCCAAACAACGTCTTACTTCGTACGTCCAAGCCGGCAACTTCCCCGGCCCCGCCGAAGCAGACACCATCGACTCCGACGTTGTCTTCCATGCCCTCGCCCTCGACGGCTACAATAACCTCTCCCAAGTCCAAGTCATGAACTCGGACGACTGCTTCCGCCACTTCCTTCTCAACACGACCAACCAGCCGCAGCTCACCTCCTTCATCAACCAAACCGCCACCAACATCCGGCGCACATTCCCCGCCGGCCTCAACAGCGGCGTCGGCATGCTCGTCGCCAACCCGGCCTTCGGCCCCGACGAAGTCTACGCCCGCAACTGGACAACAGGCGCCTACCACGGCACAGTCGTCTGGTCCTGGCAACTGGCGATGATGGCCAAGGGGCTAGAACGGCAACTCGGCCGCTGCAATGCGGAGCACCAGCACGCGCAGCCGGACTTTTGCGCCGATAAGCTCGTGTACAACAACGTCCGGGACGCGTATAATACCCTCTGGGACGGGATCGAGGCGAATAAGGATCTGTTGAGCGAGGAGGTCTGGTCGTTCGTCTACAGAGATGGTCAATTCACCGCCGCGCCGCTGGGGAATATTCCTCCACCTCCGGGTGTGGGCGCGCAGACTGGTAAGCCAAGTCCCCTCTCACCTCTGTACCAAGCTACTATGCTAATGATACCTGTTAGAATCGGACATCGTCCAATTATGGTCCTTGACGTTCCTGGCTGTGACCCGGAACCAGGCTTTTCGGTGATGGTTGCCCCGCTTGACAAAGCTTGGGCTGCTTTGCATGTCATAGCAGAGATATTGGAATTATTCGCACAAGGTGTCGAACGTGTATCATAGGACTTGATTATTGTGTTTGCTGGATGTGGCGTGAATAGTTAGAACGGTTGATTCTTCGCAAACGCAGATAATCTACCTAGAATTTATACTGCCGTGCTCAGGTACCATGTCTACATATGCGTTCTGGTGGTAGGTTAGTACGGTTACTCTCATTTTCACATCCTTTTTTCCGTGAAGCTTAGCGCACCGAGCCATGCATAATGGGCTATATGGGGGTCCGTTGAAAGATCCCACATAGCCGAAATCGATATAGACAAAGGTACAGCTGAATCGTCCCGATACGCTCAATTGAAAATCCGGCAGACAATCTCTCGCTACAGGTATTGATTTGTCTGTCCATGAAACAAGCACAGACGAGGACGAGATCAAGCACTACGCAATGAGGCTGACGGCAAACGTATGGATTCTCTGATTATGTCCGTACTATTTCATAGTAGTACATTCAACTTGAAATATTCCTGCAGCTACTAATCACACAGCGTAAAGTCCTCCAGACCCGTATCCGGAACTGTCTCCTCGGGAAGGCAGAGGTCGACGTGTTCGCCTTTGAGATTGGTGAAGACGGCCGCGTATGCTTTCTGCGAATCCTTAGTACAAGACCGATTATACCGAAAGGGGACATGGACATACCTCGGCGCAAGTGATGAACTCCTCGTAGATACCGTCGGCCTTCATCCTCTGGCGGACGAGATCGGTGACTCCGCCGAGGAGCGCATTCACCGTGGTTACCTTGCTGTCCCAGGTGAGGAGGGCCGCGACGCCCTTTCCATCGACACGGGTGGACTCGGTGCTACCGTAGGGGTCTAGAGGTCTTTATCAGTATTTGATCGGGAGATGGCAGTTGGAGATAGAACGTACTTTGCATCTTCTTGGCAATGGCCATGTTCCTCCACCAGGCGAGACCGACTCCCTTGTCGAAGAGGACTGTCGGGAACACGCTGTACGGAGTGATGACATCCAGCTCCTGCTGCGTGATAAAGGCGATGGAAGGGATGCCGGTGTTGGAGATGTACCCGGTCACGTCGCCGGTGGCGGGGTCAGTGATATTGTTGATGGAGGCGAACATGCCGGGGATTTTGGTGATTACCGAATTGCAGGTTCGGACTCGTTCGGCGTTCTTAAAGACACGTCTTTGATGTGTCAGTTCTCTCGCGACTTGAGAATGATTACTTGGACATACCGAATAATGTCGACATCGTAGTAGGGCATTTCTAGGACCTTCCATTGCTCGTGGCTTGAGAACCAGTAACCTGTCATCATGAGCGGGACTATCCTTTGCCAGCTTCGACGGGACGTACCCTTTTGCACAGTAATGGGGCCTACATGACCCATGTGGTAGTCAACGCTCTCCAGCTGGGGCTGCTTGACAGCCCAGAGCTGTTCCACGTCTGCACCGGACAGACCGCCGAAGAACTGAAGCCAGAAAGTAAACAGCTCACCCTCATAAGGATCGTTGAGCCGACCACTGCCTTCGCAGGAGTATCCCTGCTCAGGATGATCCACAGGCAGGGACTGATTCTTGATGGTCGTTACGGCGCACACTTGACCCTTTCCTTCATAGAAGATCTTGAGAAATTAGCCAAGGTGTTACACGACAGCAGGAAGTGCTTACCCTGGCTCCAGTGGTCTTGGTGTAATCCATCCACTTCTGCCACTCGCTGGCCAGTTTGGCATAAGATGACTTTCCAGTGTTTTCCAAGGCTTGAACAAAGGCATAAACAGCCCAGAGCAGCTCACTTTGAGAAGTTAGTTAACAAATACGACAGCCTTGGAGTCGAATATACCCATTGTCCAGTCCAGGAACGCGATTGTTCCAGTCCCACGTCGGTGTGAGGTCCTGGGCCGTGGAAGTGAACCAAGGAAGATAGCCTCCAAACCCAGGAAACGTTTCATTGAATCTTAAGTATGTCTGCAGCTTCTTTTCCATAATCGAGACAGCAAGATCTGGCGCTGCTGACGGATCCTGGGGCGAAAGAAAACGAGCGGCTTCCGGCGAACCAGCAACAGCATGCGCATAGAGCATCACTTGGAGCGACTGTTTCAAGAAGTTAGTATTAGCAAAGCAAGCCTATGACGATGACTGACCTCTTTACTTGCGGCGCTGAAAGGATGCTTGACTGTTCTCTCGCCAGTGGTAAAGTCGATGTTGGTCCCGTCGTAGGACATCCCGTTATCCGAGTTGTACGAGACATTGTTCTGGTGGAATTTGCCCTCCCAGTACAGCAGATCGTTGATGAAGTTGCTGGGATCCTTCAAGATTTCCCGCTGTGAGTATTGGCGAGCGAACCGGCAGGATGGTTCACTCTGTTTTTGAGGCAGAGCATCTGTCAAGGCAGCCCATGACAGAGAAAGATATGAAAGCTTGCTCACGCGCATACTGACGTTCAGATATCAGACTGTGGGATGGGTTGAGAATTGATTGCATGTAGAAAAATGGATGCGATATTCGTCCATTTTAAAGGTATCCAGCAATGAAGCAATCGCAGGTCGATGCTTCATACTTTGCTGTCGTAGCTTGCATTTCTGCAACCCCGCAAGCTCTCCGCACTTTATTTCGTGTTGCATCGGAAATTTCTGTAATCCCTGGGTGCAGATCAATGGCGAAGCAATTAGATTGTTGACCCTGCCAGCTTAGACCGTTAGACGAGACAAAATCCATATTCTCCACAATATTGTCGGAGAAATGCTTGATGAAATCTCCGCTTTTCGGCGAAATTTCGTCGGGAGTTGCACCACAGACCACGTGCTCCGCCCTCTCCGCTCTCCGCTCTCCACTCCATCTACTCCTTAATTCTCCTTCAATTCTCCTGCTCGTTTGTTGTCCATTGATTGTCTTTATTGTCCGAATATGACTGCGACCCGCCCGTCCATCAGGGCTTGTGATCGCTGCAGACGAAGGAAGGCCAAGGTAAGCCGTACCCAATTAGTCATGCTTTAGTCGACTGGTGATATTGAGATCTATCGGATTAACTGTCCACAGTGTGACGGAGGAGCAGCATTGTCCACTTGCACAAGCTGTCGACGGGCTGGGGAGCAGTGCACCTTCAATTTGCCCGTTGCGAGACGAGGACCTAAGAGCAACAAAGCGAGACGTCATGCACCACTATCCGCTGATGTTCATGGCCAAGATACTGCTTTACCAAGCTCACTCCACACGGGACAACCTGCCACAACTCTGCAATTCTCCGCTGTCTCCCCTACGCCGCCGGGCCCTGTCCTGTCTCTCGATCCCCGCACTCCGAGACTGAGCTCCCTGACAAGCTCGCCCTCTTGGAATACTAGCCTGGTGGACCCGGCACTGTCTCCCCCGGAAGAGCAGCCGCCACTGTCCTCGTTGCAGCGATGGCATCACCTGGCCCGCGCCCTTCACTTGCGCGACCCTGCAGCAGATCTTGAGCGGACGGTGAATCGGTGCTTTGACCTATTCTTCGAATACTTGTTTCCCCTTATTCCATTAGTGCACGAGCCCAGTCTACGTGACGGCTTGCGTTTCTTTGTAACTCAAGCAGCTAGATCGGGTATTGGCATCACGGGCCCAGAGCTGTGGTCATCTTTTGTCCGCGGCAATCCTATAGGCGCGGACAGCATTCTCGATCGGGCAAACAGCTTGAAATACCCGGAACTCTGGCCTGATTCAACCTTCACGCTGATCACGGCCGTCTGCGCAGAAGCGGCATTTCTCTTGCCCAAGGACATCTTTCCCGAGGGCGAGAGGATCGCGGACTTATTCCTCAAGGCGTCTCGCAGTTGTTTGCACAGCTACCTTGAGGAAGATCTGGAATACCCCAATGCGAACTCTGTGGCTATCCGCTATTTCCACTCGAACTGCCTACATGCAGCCGGCAAGCCTCGGTTTTCATGGCACATTTTCGGGGAAGCGACCCGACTGGCACAGGTCATGCAGATGCACGATGAGATGTCACTACAGAACCTGTCCGCGGTGGAGGCAGAGCTCCGCCGACGTGCATTCTGGATCGTTTACATCGGAGATAAGTCAGCAGCAATTCTGAACAATCGTCCAATCACCATTCACAAGTTCTCGTTCGACGCTGGCATTACCACTGCATACCCTTCTGGCATTGAGGATGGCACAGGTGTTTCCCCTGCCAGTGCCGAACCGGATTTGTCCACGCGAATGAGCTTCATTGCGGGCTTTAACGCAAATCTACGTCTATGGCAGACGGCTTCAGACCTCATTCTCGAGATGCGACTCCTGGAGAGCCAGAAGGAGGTAGGGATTCTCAATTCACGATTATTGACCGTCGAAGAACGCCACAGGCTCGGCAATCTGTTTGTCTTGTTCATCACGTCGCTGGACAAACTGCCGCAGTATTTACAAACCGACACTCTACTGGCGTCAATAAACAATAACAGTAGTCATCGCCGAAAGCAGTACGTGATTCAGTGGGCGAATCTCTATGTTTCGCTTCACTGCTTGAGATTGGTCATCGATCAGAAGCTAGAGGATCTGGGCTACTACGCGTCGGGAGTCGAACATCCCGATATGTCATTACTGAGGAAGACTGAAATAGCTCGCGACATGCTGCGAGTGATCCGAGAAGCGCCCTTTTGGTCGCTACAGGTAAATGGGGAGCCATGTGTATGTTTCCATTCCTTATTCATCTGCGGCATTCTGCTAAAAGCCCTCGCAGGTGGAAAAGATCAGACTTATCGGCGCCAGCCTGCTGGAGATAATAGACCAATATGAGGCTTCTCCACTGTCGGTACGAGCACGCGACGATCTTTCGGTCCTTCTAGACATTCTCACTCGCCTGGATTCTAAGGCCTCAGACACCCTTAGGAGGCCTTCGTGAGAGATACAATGTCATATCAGAACGAAAAAAGGATTCTGTCGTATCCTGATGCTCTGATGAAACGCAGGCGTCTTATGAAGGCCTGGAAATAGCTTGACCTTCTAGGTAATATAATCATCACGCTCACAACTCCGCTCGGAACACTTCAGGGGCTGGCACGGCGTTTCCTTTGGCGCTGACACCCATTCGCTCTTCAAAAATGCGTTTCAGCAGCAGGGCAGATTTCTTGGGCGTTCTCTCCAAGGTCTGATAATCGGTGAATGTCACGCCGAATCGAGGTCCATAACCATCGGACCATTCTGCGGGGTAGTGTCAGCTGCTATATCCTCTTCGAGTATACTTAGGAGCTCACCTAAATTATCCAGCAAAGACCACGCAAAGTAGCCTCGGATATCAGCACCGTCTTGGTTGACGGACAGGCCCACTGCTTCTAGATGATCCTCAAAATACTGGATTCGATACATGTCATTAACTGACTCGTCACATGTCATCCGATCCTCTCCAGGACATGGACATCCGTTCTCGGTGATGAAGATTGGCTTTCCGTACAGGCGATACACTCTCGTGAGGTGTTTGCGAAACTTGTCTGGGCATGAGCGAAGCCAATGGATACCGCTTGGTTCGCCGACCGACATCCCTTCGCTATTCCCCTGTAACTCGTCTACATTGCCGATATAGTCCGTTTCGGAAGCCGGTTGATCGCGATGGCGAGCAAACTGGGATGTATAGTAGTTCATCCCGTAGAAATCACTCTCAGCTTCGCGAAGGAGCGCCAAGTCAGACGAGGAAAACTTGGGCAGGCGATCTCCAAGTTGCTCGCGCATGCAGACTGGGTAGTCTCTTGCCAGACTGCAAGGTTGTTAGCTGAGATGTATGGGTCAGAACCAAGAAAGGTCTACTGACAAGATGGGATTGGCGAACCAGCCAATGTGAAATTCCATGCGACGCTCTGCAGCAGCGTGATCCCGCTCATCTTGGGCATTCCAAGGCTCATAGTAGTCTCCATTCAACGAGATCCCAATCTTGCCTTTCTGTACCGACCGGAACTCTCTGTTGTACAAGGCAGCGGCGCGGGCATGGCTCATGATCAGCGCTTTTCCAACAACCCAAGGCTCAGTCGCCGTGTCACCCTCGGTCGATTGAGGATTTATACTGCTTCTTCCAGGAGCATTGCCACCGGTTGCGTATCCCTGAACGTCCAAGTCAGCCAAGGAGTTTGACTATATTGAAGTGAACGAGACTTACGAAAATGGACACAATCCATGGCTCGTTGAGGGTAATCCAATTCTTGACTCGATCACCGAACCGCTCATAGCAGACCCTTGCGTACCGTTCAAAATCTCTCTGTGATTCCTCCACATTCAACCAGCCCCCGTATCTATCATGCAGCGCCTGCGGCAGGTCCCAATGATACAAGGTAAGCCATGGCGTGATGCCTCTCGCCAGCAGCGAATCAATGAGCTTGTTGTAAAATGCGACACCGGCTTCGTTTACTGGGTCCTCTCGACCTCCTAAGGGAATTATTCGCGACCAGGAAATAGAGAATCTGTACTCTTTCGCACCATATCGCGTGAGTAGGTCAAAGTCCTCCTCATACCGATGATAGTGGTCACAGGCGACATCACCATTGGCACCCTTGGTCCGCGAGGGCTCCAGATGGCAGAAGGTATCCCAAATGGACTTTCCACGTCCATCTTCATCAACAGCACCTTCTATCTGGTAGGCGGCTGTTGCGAAGCCCCAGGTAAAGTGAGGGGGAAGAGGCGCGGGAGATGGCATGACGGATTGTGCGAAAGATTCGAGGAACAAACAAATGAACGATGTGCTCAGAAAGGTTATGAGGCGCCACAATTGCCGTCGAGCAAGAGAATTAACTTATACTTTGGTTACTCTCAGTTAGGACGATCTCATCGCGGATTATCTCCCCGGCGGGGGCAGAGACGATGATCGTCGGCGAAATACATTTTCACCAAGAAACTCAACCAGTCAACCTTCAGGTGTGATTTCTCCGTTGGATAATCCTCTTGCTATTTCGCCGAAACTAAACTTTGCTCAACAGAAGCGGAGTTCCCCACGGGGGGAAAATCCATCGTGATGATCTTTCCCCTGGTCTGTTCCAGATTCAGACGACACCAACCTGGACTGTGGCTTGTATAGTCATGACTCCAGGATGACTTCTGGTCTGATCGCCTTTCTATAAGAGGATGCGAACAAGCCTGCATTTCTGGATCTACGCTGGTGCATCTTCTTACCCAGTATTTCATCCTTTGAAAGACACAAGCAGTCTCAGAGACAATGGCACCTGCTGCTGCCCATGCTGCCGATGGCATCTTATCACCAATTGATCTGAAGTCCATTCCTTCCTTCTGGCGTCGGAAGAATGGTATTTTACTCTACTTTCTGCTTACCTCGTCCCTCTTGGCGAGTGCAGCTTTGGGCATTGATGGGGTGAGATTCCCTCTCCCGTTGTGATAGCACCACTAACATGAACTACAGTCGATGACGAACGGCATGCAGGTCTTGCAGTCCTGGCAAGATAGATTCGGCCACCCGACCGGCTCCAGATTGGGATTCTTCGGAGCGTCCAACGCGATTGGAGGTGTCATTCCTTTTATCTTTCTGAGCTGGATTGGGGATAGGTTCGGGCGACGTCTTCCTACCGCATTGGGATCGGTGATTATCATTGTCGGGGTCCTCATTGAGTTCTTTGCCACCTCGCTGAACATGTACATCGGTGGAAAGATTGTGCTGGGCGTGGGCTCCTCGCTTATCCAGATGGGTGCCCCTGTGCTGGTCACCGAGCTGTCCCATCCCAAGGAGCGAGTGCAAATCACCACTTTCTACAACACCTCCATCGTTCTGGGCTATGTGATTGGTGCCTGGGCGACTTTTGGATGCTACCGCATCAACAGTCAATGGTCGTGGAGGCTGCCCACCCTGGTCCAGATCATTCCATCGGCCTATCAATTCTGCCTCATCTGGTTTTGCCCGGAATCCCCTCGATGGCTGATCGCCAAGGGTCGGCTGCAGGAAGCACGCGCGATCCTGGTCAAATATCACGGAGAATGTGATCCCAACTCCGAGCTAGTTGATTTCGAATGCGCAGAGATCCAGCAGGCTATCGCAAAGGAAGCGGAGAACAACATGACGTGGAAGGACTTTTTCTCCTCCGTGCCCAATCTCAAGCGGATCTTCCTCTGCTTCGCCACTGCGGTTTTCAGTCAAAGTTCTGGCAACCTTCTCGTGTCAAACTATCTTACGCAGATCCTGGAGGACACTGGCTTGAAGACCGAGTTTGAGATAACCCTGGTCAACGGCATGGTCACCCTGTGGCAGTACATTGTCGCGATCACCGTGACCTTGATAATTGACCGATTCAAGCGACGCTTCTTCTTCCTCACCGGCTCCGGAGGCGTGCTGGTCACATTCATCGTGTGGACCATCGCGGCGCAGCGCTACCTGGAAACCAACTCACTGGCTGCGGGACGTCTCGTGCTCGCCTGTATCTTTGTTTTCCAGGCTTTTTACACCCTTGCCTGGACCAATTTGATCGTCACGTATCCCTTGGAGATCGTGACGTATCAGATGCGCGCGAAGACGTGGGCCTTTGTCCTGCTCACGATCCAGGTGGCGTCCATCTTTGGCGGGTATGTCAATCCCATAGGGCTGAAGAATATCGGCTGGAGGTTTTACATCTACTACTGTGTATGGGTCGCCATCATCTTCGCTGTCGTATACTTCTTCTTTGTGGAGACTGCTGGCCCGACGCTGGAGGAGTTGACGTACATTTTCGAGGGTCAGGATGAAAAGATGCAGCTGGCGCGGAAGATTGAGGAAACCAAGCAGGATGTTCATGTATCAGAGCATGTTGAAAAGCTTGCTTAGGACTCGTAGTAATTAATGATAGGATGCGAAAATGATCTATTCCTCACCATAGCTTGTGGCAATCCGAAATCTCAAACTTACACTCGAGCGAGCCAATTCCATCTGATCATATTATTATTATCTATGTATTTCATATCGTTTGTCAATGCGCAAATAGACTCAGAAAGGCCAAGGCAGATGGATACGACGTGATATCATGCAGCAGTAATAATAATGGCGGTGACTAATCCTGCAATTGGCGGGGGTCGCCGAATCCGCGGAGTTGGAGTCACTCTCTTGTTTCTCGATAAGAACCCACGATGCTACGTACCTTGGTTTGGACTTCTTCGAGCCTTTCCCCCTTCCTAAATGCAGGGGACAAGACAACTTTTACCTCAGTATTCTCCTTGCGCAGAAGTGAAGTCTCTGCTCAGGATGAGTGAGTGTCTCCTTGGCATGCGGGGAGTCGCTTTTCGACTCTCCCCGCGCAGTTATCGCCGGCTACCAAAGGTTCGTCTACACAGCACAAATGCCGCAGCTGTCGTAGAACCATCGACAACAAGCCACGACACCGATCGTAGCTCGACGCCAACTTACCCTCTCAACACCTCCACACCCTCCTCCGCAACCCCCTCATCAAGATGGACCGCCCTCCGATCCGCCAGACCCTTCTCCGACTTCCTCACCGACACCTTCAACCGCCAACATGACTACCTCCGCATTAGCGTTACCGAACGCTGCAACCTCCGCTGTCTATACTGCATGCCTGAGGAAGGCGTTCCGCTCTCCCCGCCCGCGCACCTCCTCACCACCCCGGAAATCGTGTACCTGTCCTCGCTGTTCGTCTCGCAGGGCGTGACCAAGATCCGGCTGACGGGCGGCGAGCCGACGGTGCGCAAGGACATCGTCCCGCTTATGCGGTCGATCGGCGAGCTGCGGCGGAACGGGCTGCGGGAGCTATGTCTGACCACGAACGGGATCTCGTTGCATCGGAAGCTGGAGGATATGGTTGAGGCGGGGCTAACGGGAGTGAATCTCAGCCTTGACACGCTGGACCCGTTCCAGTTTCAGATTATGACGCGACGGAAGGGGTTTGAGGCGGTGATGAAGAGCATCGAGCGCATTCTGGAGCTGAATAGAGCTGGTGCGGGGATCAAGTTGAAGATTAACTGCGTGGTTATGCGGGGGATCAACGATCGTGAGATCATCCCGTTTGTGGAGCTGGGGCGGGACAGTCCCATCGAGGTGCGCTTTATCGAGTACATGCCCTTTGATGGGAATAAGTGGAGCCAGGGCAAGATGTTCTCGTACCAGGAGATGCTGGCGGTGATTCGGGAGAAGTACCCGTCTCTGGAGAAGGTGGTCGGGCACAAGAACGATACCAGCAAGACGTATCGGATCCCCGGCTTCCAGGGCCGGGTTGGGTTTATCACGAGTATGACGCACAATTTCTGCGGCACCTGCAATCGGCTGCGGATCACCAGCGATGGGAACCTGAAAGTCTGTCTGTTCGGCAATACGGAGGTGTCGCTGCGTGATATCATTCGGAAGGAGAATGATGGTCAGCCGATCGATGACGCTGTGCTGAGAGAACTTCGACTTCTTGAGACTGCGCAAGCGGCCGCTCGGATCCAGAACGAGGGTGGCGAGGTCAATCAGAGAGAACAAGAGCTCCTTGGCCTCATCGGGATGGCGGTTAAGCGCAAGAAGGCCAAACACGCTGGCATGGGTGAATTGAAGAATATGAAGAATCGGCCCATGATACTTATTGGTGGGTAGGCGCGACTTGTTTCTTTTCATATACCCGTCTGGCAGGTTTTATGGTTATGATTCACGAACTTACATTCTGGCGTCTGGCTTGCCTTTACTTGATTTACAATGTTGTGTACAGAATGGATTTGTTTTGGATATGTATGAGACTGGTCTGGTACCATCAATGCTGATAGGAGGCTTAGATAGTGAACTATTCAGAAGTACGACATCCAAAACAACTCCAGCCAGTATCCCCCTTCATCTCCTCCATACTTCGCCGTTCAAACTACAGGCTCGTCACTATCACCACAAGCGTAGCAATCCTCCCGACTCCCGTCCCGAACATGAGGCAGAACCTACGCCCACTACAGCTCCAGCATCATCGTCACCGTCCCTACCTACAACCTCCGACCCAGACCTCCCCCATCTCACCCCTTCTCAAACCGTCCACATGACCCAAATCACCGAGAAACCGGTCACCGCACGAACCGCAACAGCAAGCTGTCTAGTCCACTTCTCCAACGCCCGACCATACGATCTCCTGCGCAAGGGACTCACCCACAAAGGCGACGTGTTCAGCGTCGCCCGCATCGCGGGGATAATGGCCGCCAAGAAAACACCCGACCTGATCCCGCTGTGCCATCCGAGCATTGGGATTACAGGCGTGGAGGTAGACGTTAAGCTGGTCGCCCCTGGTCCTGGTCCTCTGCAGGGTTCGCAAGATCCAGACTCGGGGATGAGGTATGGGGCGATGCGAGTGCTTGCGACGGTTAGCTGTCTGGGCCGGACTGGGGTGGAAATGGAAGCGATGACGGCGACGGTGGGGGCTGCGTTGACGGTGTATGATATGTTGAAGGCTGTGGATAAGGGGATGGTGATTGGGGATGTGCAGTTGTTGGAGAAGAAGGGGGGGAAGAGCGGGCATTGGGTGAGGGGGGAACAGGTTAAGGGTTGAGCCTTGATCGGATCTTCTGGTCAGTATATTGTTTAGACTGTATGCATGGCTGTGCAGTTAGCATTCAAGCTTGTATTCTGCGTCGCATTGCATTGTATGGTTGTGTGGCACCACGGAAGTCTGATAGACTGTTATGGAGATTTCTAAGTGTAGTCGGCAGGTGGATAGGTATCACAGGCCAGAGGCGTCGGGTAAGAAGGCAGAACGAGAAAGGAAATATATAACTAGAGAGTGCCTCGCTACGATATCTCCAAAACTGTCTTGATGCAATTCTGCTGTGTCACTAAAGGAACAGCCCTACAAGGCCGATATCTGCGGCCCGTTGAAGCTTCTTTTTGTCGTCGTCCAATGATTAACCAAGGCACCAAGGCACTAAGGCAGATATCTACTCTGATAAGCTTCGTGATCTCTCCTCTTCATCAACAACCACAATTAGCAGTCTATACAACGCGACCATCTCTGACTATCGAAAGAGTTGTCGAAATGGAATAACACACGCTTTAGACCGTCTTCCTGCTCCAGTATCCATCAAAAAAGAGATACTATTATCCATAACACGATCGCGAAGAATTTCCCGCTTCCCACTATCAGCATCAACTGAAACTTCACCGACTATTACCGCCAATACCCCCTCACACTGTGACCTTGGTCAATACTAGCACCGAGACAACAAACAACACTCTACAGAAACTCGAATTCAAAGCAATGGATTATCGAACAAGATTACGTACCTTCCAGTTTGTCAAAGAATTCTTTCAAAACCCTTGTTGTGGCTAGCGGTGTGCGCTCCCACGGCAGGTAGAGAAGCACCAGTGGAACGTGCTTCTCAACCTCAAATTTCTCACCATTATTGAAGAGGTCATTCTATTTCGCATCCTCGAAGGTTGTACTGCTGTTTGGAGGCTCTTACGCCTGCTTTTCATTATCTTAAAAAGTTCTCTGTCGAGATGATTGGTACGTCTTTCCGGCGTTTGTTCGGTGTCTCTTTGCCAGCAATTGAGAGCTGACAGAATCAACAGTTCGACTTAGACGGACGTGGTCTCGACCACTCGGTCGTTGCATCATGGCGGTGCTGCCGCCGTTCAATTTCCTCACCCTCCATTACGCCTATTTCATCGCCACCCCGCTGATTTGCAGTATCATCTTCTGGGGTTCCGCGACTCCCTCACGGAGTGTTGATTATGCAGATGCGCTTTTCATGTGCGTCAGTGCCATGACTGGTGCTGGATTGAACACTGTACGTTCCATGAATTCAACAACGTCCAGCTTTGCTAACTCATTCCAGGTGGACCTCTCCTCCCTAAATATGTTCCAACAGTCCATTCTTTTTACCCTTCTGATCCTAGGACATGCCATTTTGATCTCAATCACGGTCCTATTTGTGCGCAAGAGAGCATTCCAGCTCAAATTCAAGACCGTTTCAGACAGGTCTGCCGCAAGAAATTTTTTGGGGCAGTCCAATCCTGAGGGAGAGACCAAAACACACACTTCGCAACCGGGAGATCCCCATAGTGCTGCAGATGCCAAGGCGTTCGCCACCGAAAATGCCCCTTTAGAATCTTCCAATGCGGTTGGCGATGACCACATTCGATGGGTCGATGACGACCAAGTCACTGTTGGCCATATGCAGCCACGTCACCATCATCACCACAGAGTCTTCCCTATGGCAGGAGTGGGCGCTCGACTCGATCTGAATAACCATCCGAGAGATGTAGCTCCCACTTTGCTTTTGAACGAAGAGTCAGACGAGATCCCGCGGTTGAAGGGGGTTCTAAGAGACACACAGAAATATTTCGCTTCAAAAGGCTTCATCTCACGAAACTCCCAGTTTCATGGTCTTACGCTTGAGGAACGTGAGAAACTAGGCGGTGTCGAGTACAAGGCGGTTTCCTTCTTGTCGGTCATCGTTCTGCTATACTGGGCGATGTTCCTGATCATTGGCATTGTTGGAGTCGGTGGCTGGCTGGAAGCAAACCACCCAGAGATTCCTCGGGCAAATGGCCTGTCGCCCTTCTGGACTGGCGCTTTCTTTGCTGTTTCTGCGTTTGTCAACTGTGGAATGTCCCTTTTGGATGCGAACATGACCGCCCTTCAAACAAAGTAGTTTACCCTCTCTCTGACTCACGGGGACAACGCTGACCAGCCACAGTGCGTACCCACTTCTTACAATGGGCTTGTTGGTTCTTGCAGGAAATACTCTCTACCCTTGCATTTTACGATTCATCATCTGGACTATGAGGCGCTTGATGACGAATCGGCTATCGTGGGAGACGTGGAAGGTCACTTTGGATTTTATCCTCGACCATCCCAGAAGGGTATGAACTACTACGGTTCAGTATCATACGAACTAACTGACAGATGCAGGTTTACACTAATCTCTTCCCCGTCCGTCATACATGGTACCTTCTAGGGACCATCATCATTTTGAATGGAATTGACTGGGCCTGTTTCGAGATTCTTGCGATTGGAAATAAAGACATAGAGACACTGCCGGCAGGCTATCGCATCTTAGATGGGCTGTTCCAGGCTTTGGGTGAGTGTCTTCAGGCTCATGCTCATCTCCAGCTGCTAACCGATCTGATATAGCTGTGCGCTCTGGAGGGTTCTATGTTGTAACTATCTCTGAATTGCGTCAGGGTCTACTTGTGTTATACGGTAAGGCTTGTAATATGGAATCTACGTGATATCTGCTAACAATTTGTAGTCCTCATGATGGTCAGTTCTAGTGGTCGTTCTATCCTACCCAAATACCCAGCTAACCACACCACAGTATGTCTCGGCGTTCCCAGTATTGGTGACCATGAGGTTTGTCTCGTCCACTTATTCCAATTTTCCTTTGCTGACTGCCACAGAAACACCAACGTCTACGAAGAGCGCTCTCTAGGCATTTATGCCTCGGACGAACCGCTCGACGCACTCGGCAGCCAATCCCCCAATATTTTCGTGAGCCTAATCCGACATCACCTCCTCGGACGCCAGGATGTCTCAACCACCGAGTCTTCGCGCAGCTACTTCGTTCACCAACAGATCCGCTCCCAACTCAGCCACGACATCTGGTGGATCGCCCTCGCAGTCCTCTTCATTGCCATCGCAGAGTCCCCGCACTACTCCGAGAACCCGGTCGCCTACTCAACCTTCAACATCATTTTCGAGGTTGTCTCCGCGTACGGCTGCGTCGGCATCAGCGTCGGCTTTCCAGGAAAAAATTACTCGTTTTGCGGCTCGTGGCATACCATCAGCAAGCTGATTCTGGCGGCTGTTACACTGAGGGGACGTCACAGGGGTCTTCCTGTTGCTATTGATCAGGCAGTAATGCTGCCCAATGAATCGCTCGCTTGGGCAGAGGAGGAAGATGCTGTTCTGAGACGTGAGCAGACGCGTACGTATGGAAGTGAAAAGATGCCTGTAGGAACGGTTTAGTCTTCCCTTCGATGATATCGTTCAAGTCGTTGATACGCGAGGCGGCTATACAAGTTTTTTGATATAGCTTAACTATATGACGTTCATATATTATTGCAAATATATCATTATAGCCACAGATTTCTCTACTTCATAGTCCACATGCATATTTGTACGTATCAACACCGCTATGGTTCCATGATGTATATGTGTACAATGTTCCCGAACCTTGCAACTTTTATAGATATCGATAGCAGGAATATGTCCCGAGCTATAGGACTGGATGGAATGAACGTAACAAACAGAACCTTAAGACAAAAGGAGGGTATCTAGAAGAAGAGGGCATCTACTCTTCCTCAAACTCTTCCTCTTCTTCTTCTTCTTGCTCCTCCTCTTCGCCAGAGGACTCTCCACTTTCATCATCGTCACTAGGCGCGTCCTCCATCATCTCATCCTCATCCGCCTTCTTCTCCGCTGCGCGCCGTTTCTCCTCCTCCCGCCGTCCCTGCTCGAGAATAGTAGCCTTCTCCTCCCTCAATTTCCGCTGCGTCTTGACAAACGCACCCAAAGGCGTCGATTCCCAGTCCACATCTTTCAGGAAGGTCTCGACCTCCGCGCGGTTGCGCGGCGTATAGGTGACATTCACCCTCTTCTCCTCGATCCAGCGCGCGTTCGCCTCGACCTTCTGCACAAGCAGCAAGATGGCCTGGTTGACCTTTGCATTCTTGTTGCCGCTCGTGCGGGAGCCGACCTGCTTCAGCCAGCGTTTCAGGGCGACGACGATGGGGACGGAGAGTTCGGGGAAGGCGATGTGTTTGGTCCAGAGGACGAAGAACTCGGCGAGCAGCTCGGCGACCTGTTCGCCGACGCCGTCCTGGTAGACGCGGGTGCGGAGGTAGGATTTCGGGGCGCGGATGGCGGTGCTGAACTCGAGTTGCTTGAGGGTGCTGGATTTCGGGGGCTTGCGCATCTCGGCCGCGTTGAGGACCTCGAGCAGGGCTGGGGCCAGGGGCACGTAGGTGCCTGTGGCGCGGGAGAGGCGGAGGAGGGCGCGGGTGAGCTGGAAGCGGAGCGGGAAGTAGGTTGCGGTGGGGATGAGGCGGATCGCGCCGAGGGTGATCTGGACGACGGGGTAGATGAGGGGCCGCAGGGCGGATTGCTTGCCGGCTTTGGCTTCGACGAGGCCGTCGCAGTGCTGGGAGAGGACGCGCGACCAGAAGTCCAGCGAGTGGGTGTACTGCCAGTTGTAGATGGTCTTGTAGGATTCCTTGGAGGTGTTGGTGATGCTGCTGCGGAGGTGGATGGCGAGTTGCCGGATGAAGTTGAAGCCCGTCGTGTACGAGATGTTCTGGTCGATGCCCCAGAGCTCGGCAGCCGAGTTCTTCATCAGGTTGACTCCGGAGAGGGTGTGAATGGTTGTGTTCCGGCTGCCCTTGACCACTCCTTCATACGAAACCTTGAGGACGGTCTCCTTGAGCCCGGAGTCGCCAATGACCATGAGTCGGCGCAGCAGCAGGAAGCCTGTGATGCGGGTTGCCTCCGTCGTCGAGACATCAGCCCAGATGCCGACAATGGTCTTGATGAGAACTTTCAGGAGTTTTCTGAACTGGAGCAGATAGGGGAGCATCGGTTCGATGGACGAAAGGGTCAACTTGAGCGTCGACGCGTCGGAAAGATTGACGAGCAACTGATGAACTGATGATGTGTGCGACTTGATGAGTGGTGTGAGTGTCTTGAATTTCTTCGAATCCAGAGACACCTTGACTTTTCCGGACGCCGTCTCCTTCACTGGAAGATGATGTGCGAGCACCTTCGGCACAGTACCAAGTGCCGTCACAAGAACCTGATGATACACATTGGGGTCCGAGATCGAGTACTTCTGCTCTTGAGTTTCCGCCTCGTTGATGTACGCTGCGCAGCGGAAAGCGAGCACGGCCTGCCGCATGGCGCGGATCGAATTCTGTTCCTCCATCAACTTCTGCCACTTCTTGACAGTCGCAATCGTGAGCGTGTTGTCCACGGCTTCCACATCCTCGTCCTCATCCTTTGCCGCCTTCTTCTTTTTCTTCGCAGGTCCTTCTTCCTCCTCATCCTCGCTCAGCTCGAGGACCTCCGCGAGGTCTCCGTGTTCACCAAAGTCGAGCAGCTCCGCATCGTTTTCTTTCAGATACTTGTAAAATTCGGGATCCTTATCCTTCAACGCCTGAAGCTGATCCTTGTGCGCCTCGAAATCATCGGGTCCGCTGCTGGCCTGAGACTCCGCATCGTCGTCGGATGCGCCACCATCTTCCTCGGCTTCACTTGAGGCAGCAGATGAGACTTCCTCTTCCTCTTCCTTCTGTTCCTCTGACCGCTTCCGTTTGCCAATCTTGGGGGTAACATCCTTCTTCCGAGCCTTCTTGCCCTTGTCCGCATCGGCGTCTGCAATCTCGAATCCGCCCGCGAAAAAATCGTCGACGTTCATCTCCGCAAAAGCATTCTGCTTCTTACGTTGCTCGGGACTCTCTTCCTCAACGTCCCCATTCTCGGGTCGTGCTCGAGCATTGTCAGCCTTGCGTTTCTCTTTCAGATGAATGCGCTGCTTGATCTTTGCGTTCGCCTTGCGCCGTTCGAGTGTATCTTTCAGATGCTTTTTCTCGAATTTCTTCGTGGACTTCTTCTGACTTCCGGCCATTTTGCCGTATATTCTCCAATCCTATCGAGGATGGAGTCGAAGTCTGGAAAGAAATGGTTGGACTACTCAAAAAGCCAAGCGTAAGAAGAGCAAGAGAAAAAAAATTCCTGTCGGGGCAGAATATCACGCCGATCCGCCCAATCGGGTGACCGCCTTTTCCCCTCCTCCAGCCATCCAGCTATCGCATCAGAATGGTGAAGCTGGAAAGTAACCTATCATGTATGCTCAACGACCTCTTTCGTATGCACCTACACCTTACAGCTACACGCCTAACCCGGCGCTATCGGCAACTATCAATCTCGATGAGGTACTCCCGTTCAGATCGGCCCGCTTGCTGAGCTGCTGGCTAACAGCGGTCGTGCCAGGCAGTGAAACTAGCCTCTAGCTCCGCAGAGCGCGATCTACATGAATCGCTGGCCGAGATTTACAGTATCATTGTCACTCTTGATGGACTCGAGAAGGCATATATCAAGGACGTGGTTACAGAGGCGGAATACACCGAGACATGTACCCGGCTACTAAAGCAGTACAAGTCCAGTTTGGGCGATGAGGCTGTCGCAGCGGAGTTCGTTGATCTGGAAACCTTCAAGCGGACATGGGGGGTAAGCGCACTTGCTGTATAACCATTGTACGGCTTGCTGACCATCCTGTCAGCTGGAATGTCCCCGTGCCACTGAGCGTCTCCGTATCGGCCTTCCCGCAACAGTCGAGCAAGCCTCCCACGGCGCACCTTCAGCCAACGCAGGCCCAACAACCGGAGGTCCTATAGGCGGCGCTTCAGGTAGCCTCATTCTAACGGCTACCGAGAACTTCATTACCTTCCTGGACGCTCTGAAGCTGAATATGGTGTCCAAAGATGCACTTCACCCGCTACTGTCTGAAGTCATTCAATCCGTAAACAAAGTGACGGATGGGGACTTTGAGAACCGCGGCAAAATCATTCAGTGGCTGATTACATTGAATCAGATGCGCGCAACAGAGGAGCTAAGCGAAGAACAGGCGCGGGAATTGGCCTTTGACATTGAGCAGGCTTATCAGGGATTCAAGTCGACGTTGGGCTGATGGTAGAAATTATCGCATTCCTTAATCTTGTAGACTCGGTCTGATATTTGTTATGGTGAGCGATAGGCGTCTGGAGTATCTTCTGATACGGCCTTATGGTTGTGATTTGCATTTATAAATGGCATCCTTAAATCCAATCGGTTTTCTCGCTTTCATCTCGTGTCTGAGTTGTCTCTCTTCAGGTAGTGCTGGGTCGGGGCGGGGACCGGATCCGCGGGACTACGGACGCCAACCTTTCCTATTCGGGTAATCTCGACTTTTTTTTTTCTGTGCCTGGATCGCGACATCGCCAACCCCTCTTCGCCACAGCAGAAGCTATTGGGCCCATATTAAGACCGGATCATGCATCGCTCTGTCTTCTAGTAGTCTATTTCACACTAATCGCGCTGCTAATCCTGCAAGACCACTGCCATCATGATCAGTGCCGATCTCGACGAGCCTCTCCACGGTATGTCCGCCTGCCCCTGATAGGTGCGCGATATCGGGCTGATAAGCCTCTATCTCAGTGCTTGACCTTCCCCAGATCTATAGCAAACCCTCCGGCACCGATCTCCTTCGAGCTCTTGACCTTCTCGCTGTCAAACCACGCAGTTTCAGCACCAGTGCTAACCAAGAAGCGGTGAAGAGCCGAACAGTCGAACCAGGCGGAGTGACCCGCTACCTGACGTCCATCATCTCCAGCCCTCTTTCATGGCTAGACACTGATGAATTGCGGGAGGCCATTTGGGATGCTGCTGCGGCTCGGTTGAGCGAGCGGGCTGGGCGCACCGGTATGAGGCGATATAGTCGTAGTGATTTTTGAGGATTCTAACGCGGGGTCTTTCTGAACGTAGCCATGCCAGCCATGTCCCGAGTCTTCACAATCCCTACCTCATCCGACGAAGAGCTCACACTGACACTGCACGAGCCCTCATTGACCGCTGACAACCTAGGCATGAAAACCTGGGTCTCATCGTACCTTCTCTCCCGACGCCTTCACAACCTCCTCGACATCACACCGCCGCTCGTGCCCTCGTCATCAACCACTCCCAAGTCGGACAGGGCCCTTCGAGCGCTAGAGCTGGGCGCGGGGACCGGACTCGTGGGTCTCTCCTTCGCAGCTCTCCGCGGCAGCTCGGCGACAATCCATCTGACAGATCTACCGGCCATCGTACCAAACCTAGCCCATAATGTCGCCCTAAATGTCGAACTGCTCACAAGGACGGATGCGGCGGTCACAACAGGGGTACTGGACTGGTCTGTCGCGCCGTCACCACTCCCAACAAGGGAAGAACAGTACGATCTC